TTCAAATTACATTGCTTTTTATAAACTAGCTTCTAAAGGCATTGGGTTCTACTTCTGTTTCGCTCTATCTGGTAATAAGAAAGGTTGTCATATTGAAGGGTAGAAGATGTAGCTTTTGATTTGTTTATGATCAGTCTGCCAAAGTATTTGAGGACATGTTAAGATTCTCACAGTTTGTACCCTACATTTTAAATGCTTTCACAAAGGAGACATTAATTTGGCTATTGTTGAATGTCTGATTTTCTTTTTCAGACTTTCTAGGTTTCAAAAAATCAATTTACAAAATATGGAGAAAGTTGCTCTTTATTTATGAGCACATTATTCAGTTTCTGTTGTCCTCAATTCTCATCATTACAAGTGCAATAGACACAGGCAAATGAAATATGAGAAATTTGTGTTGAGGGCTAAAAAGTAAATGATCCCCGAAATAATAGACACACAAATGACACTGTCATAGAGTTGAATGTATGGCATGCCAATTCATGCTTGGATCTGTCTCAGTTTCTGTCTGTCTCTCTCTCTCTCTCTGCACATGAGAGTATGGTATAGGCCCATGTGTGTGATAATGCCTCTGTGTACATTTGCAGAGGTCAGAAGAGAACATTTGGACTCCTGTTGCATCAGTTTCCACATTTCTTTAAGACAGGGTCTCTCACTAAACCTGTAGCTAAACTGGTGTCTACCAAAGGTTAGCAGTCCTATTATCCGTGTCTCCCACAGCCCTGACATAACAGGCATGTGAGGTCACACATGGCCTTTTACATAGGTACTTGGATCTGAACTCATGTCCTCTTGCTTTCACAAAAGCATTAACCCTCTGAACCATCTATGAAATTCATCTACACAAAATGCCTATTTTGTAACTTTAAATTGTATCTAATATCTTTGAAAATAGCTCGTGATACTGGGGCTTAAGAATGGCTATCCCCTATATGATTATAGAGTGTTCATGTTGGTCCAGTATCCATAGAAGACACATCTCTGCAGTGCATATCACTAAGAAGTTGAATGTATGCTTGTATTAGTTATTTTCTTGTTGCTGTGACAAAATGCCTGAGAAGGGCTTCTTAAAGAAGAAAGAGTGTCACAGGAGCCTTCTATGTCTCTCATTCTCAGTTGTGACCTCCCCTACCCCAAGTACACTGTCCAGATAGGAAACCATTGAAGAGAATGCTTAAATATTGTGACAGGGATCCTGAAGTGTAGCTCTTGACAGGTGATGGCTTCTGGCAGGGCTGGGTGTGGGGAAGGACTCATATTTTTTAAGGGGCTGACTCCTGAGAGTTTGATCATGATCCAGTGAGTATTTGGGCAACATAAATTGGACTTGATATATATTTCGTTTTTCTTTTCTTCTTTTCTGTAAGGAGGTCACAAGGGGGGAGGGGGTATGCCTGAGAATACTGGGAAATGACTGTGATAAGGGTATATTATGTGAAACTCCCAAACAATGAATAAAAATATTATGTTGAAAAAAGGAAGAAAAAAGATTGTATTTTGAGTTATAGTTTAAGGGTACACAGTCCATCACAGTAAAGACATCAGGAAGGCTGGAGTGTAAGACACCTGATCACATTACATCTGTAGTCAGGAAGCAGAGGGAGAGTGGCAGAGGAAGGTGGAGAGGGAGAAGGACCTATATTCAGGACCCTACCTCATGGGATGATGTTGCCCACATTCAAACTGGATCTTTTCTCTTCAGTTAAACCTCTCTGGAAACAGCCTCATAGATACACGTAGAGTTGGGTCTCTTAGAGAATCTAAGTCCAGTCATGTTGACCTCAAAGGGTCATCTTTGGATCTTGATCAAGCTACAACGACTGTACTTTACTGAGTCACAACTCTGCTTTAGGTCATCTGGGCTGGAGAGGTGGTACGAAGCAACCCGGAGCTTGCACAGGTTTTGTCCCTGAATACGCTGCTCAGTACCTCAGTCACCCTGATTCTGAGCAACAAGAAGATATTTGAGATGAAAGATGCTTCATTTTCTGGATAAAACCTCCTTGAAAAACCTCTATGGTCTCTGCTGCGGCCATGTTGGTGTCTGTGGTTCATGCTGCAGCCAGAGGCCATGCTGATATCTGTGATCCCTGCAGCTATTGCAGGCTATGTTAATGCCCATGGTTCATGATGCTGCTTGGGGTCATGTTGCTATCTGTGCTCAGGATGTTTGTACTGAAGGATACCACTGTGGTCAGTGTTGTCACCAGAAGCTATGTTGACTGATGTTAGTGATCCTTGCTGCATCCAGAAGCCATATTGAGGTTCATGGTCCATGCTGTCACCAGGGCCCATGATGAGTTCTGTGTTACATGATGTTGCTGGAAGCCCTGTGACTATCCATGGTTTATGCTGCTGCCAGAAACTATATAGAAGTCCATAATCTGTGGACTTGCCAGCTGCTATTGGTAAGAAAAGTTCTTTTGCAGTGATATTGATGACTGCAGACTAGTAATTGAGAAGAAGAGATATTGAAGGCTTCTGTGATACCTCCAAGCCACTACAAAAGAAACAGTCCAGACAGGAAGCTGGGAGGAATAGGATGCTAGTGTAATTATGTGCAGGGTATGGAAGAAGAAGAAGAAGAAGAAGAAGAAGGAGGAGGAGGAGGAGGAGGAGGAGGAGGAGGAGGAGGAGGAGGAGAAGGAGAAATTCTGAGAAATAATTCTGGAGGAAAAAAAGTACCTTGTTATAGGACTCAGAAAGGGGACATCTTCTCAGTGCCTTTGGGATGAAGGTTCCTGAGATGTGATTGATTCAATGGCTTTTCAGGAGTATGGTTGAATCTCCTGTCTTGGATGCTTTTAGCATGTGGTTTATAGGTAGTGGATCCTGGGAGCATCATAGCAATAAATGGCAGCTTCTGGCTATAGCAGGGTGATGCTGACTTCCTTCCTCAGTGTTGGTTGGTGTTGAGGCCTGGGCTGCAGGCACCAGGAGGCATTATTTACTTGCCATGTTTAGAATTCATCTAAAAGAGCTGGAAATTGTTTGACACTACATTTCAGTCATCTTGAATTCTAACCTGCAACTTCATGCTGTAATTTGTCAACTGTGTCTTGGAGAGATATCACAGCCTGCCTAGAATAGAGATGGAGCTGACATTCCAGTGAATACCATTTAAAAGAAATCAGAGAACCTTTCAGGGATATGATGCTGTTGATTACTGCCATGATTAGCATTAGGGCTGGGAGACTTCATCCACCAAGTGGCAACAAATGTGCTGGACGTTGTTGACAAAGCTCGAGGTTCCTGATTGTTTTTTGCCAGAGGAGGCGACCTCAGTCTCTCCAGATGTGCATTTATTTCTCCTCAGCTCTCCTTATGAGCATTTTGCTAAGTCGGGAACATCATGACCCAGATGGAAAATTGATTCAGGAGCCTGTATCCCTAATGACCTTCCAATATATTTTTAGATTACTCACCTTTTCTCCATCATGTCTGCCCACACATGTGCACTTACTCATGATTTATTGTGTATTTATTGTAACCAGATTGTTTTTTATCTGATACACTATATCTAACCCAATATCACCAGTGAATTAGAAAAAAAAATATTTGGGAAATACTGTGAATATGGAATTGAGTTTTATAGAGGTTACAGGAACTGGGCTAAAGTGAGCCTGCGTTGTAAGAACATCTTGGAGTTGCGGGAGAAACTCAGTCATAGAAGACTCTTCTAGCATGTTCAAGCTGCATACTCTGTATAGTTCTGTAACAGTGCTCATGCTGTAACATACATTCAGGAAAATGTCAGAATTGAGGAAAACAGGGCAGCAAGGCCATGGCAGATCTCACATTCTGTGTCTAAGTAGTTCTGAGCAATCCCATCACATCTATTTTGTTCCACCTCGCTCTAACCCATCCAGTACAACCAGACCACCCCATCCATTTTCATATCTTCTCATTTGATTCAGTCCCATTCATAGCTACCCAAACGCTTCTCCATGCAAGAGTTCATTGTAGGTCCTATGGATGCCAAAAGGAATGATTCAGAATGCCTAGTCTAGAGTTCACAGCCCAGATGAAGTATGGATGATTAAAAGTAGCTAAAAATGTTCCACTCTCTTCCTTGAGAAGTCATCTAGGACCATCCACTTGAATATGGAATCGCATCATAGCCCAATTAACTGATATAATGTAGTGAATTTGACACATTTGGTTGCTGAGACAATGACAAAAGAAGCCTTGAGATTTCAGGCTAATTCTCCTTTAAGGCTATCCATGGGGGAAATAAGATGCCCTGTCAGACATTGAAGATACTTAAGACTCTGCTGCTAAAAAGAACATATATAGTCAGTAGTCCCAGGTGAGCCCCTATCTCCAGATTACTTTGCTATAGTCTAAGACATTTGACTAGTATATCTGCTGACCTCTTCCTGACCTCAGTTACCAACAAAGACAGCAGAAGAAACTACCAACAAAGTTGTGTCTCAGTTTTCCAGTCCCCAAATCGAAAGATCTGATAAAAGAGCATTGTCTGAAGCTATTGAGTTTTAGAGTAGTTTATTACACCAGCATATATAAACAGGTAACCTTTTAACTAAGCATTCTAAGGAAGGGTAGGTATAAAATGTTGAGAAAACAAATGCACAGAAAATAAGTTTGTTTCCTGTGAGGCCAAGCATGGCCCCACTTAAGTGGGTACCAGTTGTACCACAATCCTTGTAGACAGTGTCTGCCAAATCCCTTGACTTGTACAGTACCCAGTGTGTTCAGACTTTTGACAGTTGTAGATAGTGAGTGCTGAGAAGGCAAGATAGCTGAGGAAATTATACAGACGAGAGACCTAGAGCTGGAAATTGAAATATGACTGAAAGAGGAAGGATAAATGATGCTAGCCAGTGGCATCAGGATGAACAAATCCCCAAAGGACAGGTGCCCATGATGCTCTTGGATACACTCACTTGTTCTGTGTAATAGACATGTTCTGACCCAGGGTACTAGGACTGTGAATGTTCTTTCATGGTAGTGATGTGAAGGACCTTATTTTCATTACCATGATTCTGAGGGAGGAAGAAGGTAAGAGGGAGATACAGAATATAGAATTTGAAGGCAAAGAGGCAACACATTCAAAACAGTCTATGAGAAAATTGTAATTCAAAACTGCAGTCTCTGAAAGACACTGTTTGTTCTTCCAACTGTTTGTCTCTCCCTGAAAGCTTGGCAGATCCATTTTTTATTAGAAAGTCTTAACCGATAGGGGATTTCTCAGTGATTCATTTAAAAGAAATCATTAAAGGAAAATCATGGCACATCACATCCTGCCTTCTTTAATTGCTCATTTATTATTACTGTGGGTGAGATAACGGCTTTGTGCTAGTCTTCTAAATAGTGTAAAATATTTATTGGTAAATATAGCAATGCATAAATTAATGCCAGTTGAGAGTTTGTTGGGGCGTTTCCCCCCTCCACTGATTGCCATAATTTTTACTTAAAGAAGAACAACACTGATGTATTCTGGTTGAGCACCGAGTGAGAGAGTTGTGAGCTCAATGTCTAGAGGAAGGAATTGTCTTCTTTGTTTCTTTGTCAAAGTGGGAGATTCTGGGTGAACCTACAGCATGTCTGTAAAATCAATTTCTTTTCTATTAAGAACACTGTGCTTGGGAAGGAGGCATAGAGAGGTGTAAAATTTTTTCTTTAGGGGTCACAGCTGAATTCAGAAGCAAACTCTCCAACTTTAAGAGACTTTTATAAGTGAGGGTATTTGTTATATTTCTTATCTCAAAGTCCACAGGTAAGTGGTTCTGTAGAGTTGATTTGCTGGCTTAACAATGTCACCTAGGATTCAAGATAATGTCTTCATACAACAACATCCGAAAATAGGAAGTTTATTTTTTTTCTCCCGAAAATCATTTTTAGAATCTTCCAGCTGAGTTCCACTCAGATTTTCTTTCCCCAGACCCAGGACTGATATCTACTTCTAAACTAATCATGTTAACTTCAAATAGGCTTGGAAGGTTGGCTTAAGTTCCATCTGTGTGCTGGAGAAGAGGGACCAGCATTCTCTGTTAGTACTAATTTGCTCCTTTGAAGCAAGTTCTTTTTAACCAGTTATTTATTTATTTTTGTGTGTATGGTGTTTTGTCTGCATAAATGTAGTGCATGGGATTCTTGCAGTGCCCATGGAGACCAGAAAAGAGTATGGTCCCCTGGGACTGGAATTATAGATGGTTGTGAACAACCGTGTGGGTGCGCAGACGCAAACTTGCTGGGATGCAAACTTGGCTCCTCTGCCAAGAGTAGGTCCAGTACTTTTAATCCCCATTGCATCTCTGTAATCCCACAAATAGGGTTTTTATTAAGGGATCTATGGAGAGATGGCTCATTTGTGTGCAGCCTGTATTGTTGGCCATAGGACAAAGTAACTTGGGTCTGGTGATTTAATATATAACATATGGTCAGCTACATCCCTCCTGGAAAATACAATAGGAATATGCAAGACAAGAGTGTTCTCAGGGAGTATTCATGGGCCCTTACAGAGCAGGCAATTCTTTATGGGGATAAATTAATTCAATAAAACACTAAAAACAATAAAACAGGTTGCTTATTACACCTCAGGAAGTGGGAATAGAGAGGCAAATAAGACCTAGCTTTTGCCCACAAGGAATTTAAAATTCCCTATACCATCTGCTTTATTCAATTGGTCACACAGAATACAGATTCACATGCCAATGTCACCACGCTGCCATGCTTCCCTCTGGGGACAAGGGGTTGCAGCATGGCTAGAATATCCCACTGTCATCCCTTCATTTAGCTTCTTTAACTTTTCAGTGATGAGCATGGCTAGGTTAAATGTCTCTTCCCTTGAGTCTCCCAGCATCAGTGTTTACCTTTGCCACAGGGTTTATCACTACCAGGTGTGACTGTCTACCAGCTGTTGTCTCAGCCGGGCAAGAGCCTGTGATGGCAGATTGCCTTTTGATCAATAAGTATCTTCACAGCCTTGTTGGTGACTAGAACATAGATGACAGCCAATGAATGTCTGCGGGATGAATGTATGAATAATTGAATGGAAGGAAATGAAAGTGAAACCCTTTATTTCCCCTCTGTCAGCTTCCACCTTATTAGTTTCTCTGTTTCTTTGTCCTCACCTCTTCATTTCCTTTTTTTATTTTCCCTTTCCTCGAAATCAAGTAATGAGTCTAGCATTTTAAGTTATACAGCATTTGCACAGTCTCACACAAAGCTTCTCTCTTCCCTCTTCACGGAAAAATTGAGGCTGAGTCACAATTGTCAATATTAACCAGAGAAAGAATCCCATGCACATCTTTTATTCTACTGCAAATAATCTTTTGGTCTAGTTTGCAAAGACATGAAGTTCTTCAAACCCCCAGATGATAGACCTATGCCAGTAAAGATTGTTGCTTCTTGTTTCCAGCTTTGAGTAGAGGAAGGTATTGACACTGTGTATATACATAACTGGCAGTTGCTTGAGGGTGATATGGACTTCAAATTTTGGGTATAATACATTCAATTAATATGATGACAGCCATGTACAGATGCATTTTTTAGGTCAAAGCTCCTAGAAAAAATATCAGAGTATATCTATATGTATATCAGTGTTTTCTTTTTTGATGGGTCTATGTATTAAGTCCTAGGAGGTCCTAGAGGCTTTATCTACCTGGAAAAGGAGTTAATAAACTTCACTTTGAAATTTTGACCATCTTAATTTTGGGAGTATTAGTTTTGATTTGTAAAAACATAGCATTAAGATATTTATCTAAATGTTTCTTAATGGCCTCTGGAATTTTCTGCTGGAGAAAAATATTTCTGGTAGGTGTTTTAAAATATGACTTTCTGGAAGGTATTAGGTGGTAGCGGACTTTGTGTATTCCCTGGAGTTCTTTTGGATTCCACTAAAAGTGGAATTATTATTTCTCCTTTTCCTCTGGAGCAACCCTCTGATGGGTGCTTTTTTTTTTTTAAGATTCTAATACCTAGTGAAGGTGAGATAAGAAGAAAGATTACACATTCATGTTAGAGTGAGTGCTTTGTCAAGAACTGAGAGCTGAGTGATGGAGTGGTAGAAAGCATCCCAGACCTGGTTTGTGGGAGGTTTGGAGATAACACAGGGCCCAGCATGCACTAGAAGGATGAATCAGCACTGCCCAGCCTAAAATGCAGGGAAAGAGGGAACAGTACAGTCAAATTTGCAGACCAAGCTATAGCATTTCTTGGGGAGGTATCTACAACTGAGTGGTCCCATACCATGGAAATATCTATTTTGGGTAAGAGTGTTGAAATTAATAATGAGGTTGGAAATATCAAGAGAAGAAGATCATGAATATTTTTGGTTTCCTGCATTTGTCCAATGTATAATGGAGAGTTCTTGAGGTTGTCAAAGTGGAGAAGGAGCACAAGTCTTACTCATGGGAATGTTAAGACTCATAAATGAAGCACTTACCCAAATAAAGAAAAAAATGACCACTCCCTAATGTTACAGTGGAAAGACATAGACCTGAATTCTGGAAACCTGGACTAGGTTGCATTTCCAGAATTATGATATAGGTTACCTCAGGGAATTCTTCATGTGCTCCCAGCTTCTGAATGAAGACTTCTGAAGAACAAGCAACAATGTCAAGATGTAGAAGGATTTCTAAAATCATTCTCACAATAGGATCTGCTACTACTCAACAATTTTCTTGAGAAAATCAAAGCTTATTTTTGTTTGACAAGGCAGTATTTGCATCAGAACATTTTGATGGCTTCTGTTTTTGTGGTTTGTGTGTGTGTGTGTGTATGTGTGTGTATGTGTGTGTGATAACCACTAAAAATAATTCAAAGCTACTTAAATATGTGATGTTCTAGTGAATGAGGCCCCCGAAGCTCCTTTAGTTTGTTGTCTCTGGGTCAATCAATACTTATGTTTGTGTGTACCTTAATAATCTTATTATTAGACTGGTCCCCAAAGAGGGGTCTTGAATACTTTAGAGACACAGCCTCTGAAATTCCTGTCTCAGTGAGTTCACTCATTGCTACTTAGTGAGAGCTCTTCTGTCCATTCTTGGACTTCATGGAGTTGATCTCAGCACAGCAAAGCTTAACTCTGCCTGTTCTTTGCCTCTCTAACCAGGCTACTTCTATCCTCTTGCATTCATTGTAAAGGTATCTACCTGTCTGTGTTATCATTGCAGAACTCCTCTGATAAAGCATCCATCCTGCCCATCCTCCAAGTCCTCAGCGATCTGCTTTCTGTTGGTGAGTAGGCTACGCTCATTCAAATGATATTGTAGATTGAAGACAGTGTTGGCTATTGTCTGTCCCAGGAAGTGATATAGCTGGGTGTTTTTGTAGCTTACCTTTCCTGTGTGGGAGAGAACCACCAGCCAACGTTTTCCCCTTGATATGATTTGATAAGGTTTGTATAGACTGGGATAACTGTACTTGGGGTCCTCAGCCTTGTCACCTTGTCATCTTACAGTGCCCAAACTTAGGAGGCAGTGAAATGTTGGGTGCTTATGTTATGGTTTTTCTTCTTTAAGTTCAAATGACTTCATCTGGGAGAGCTGCTTCTCAGTAACCATATCCCTCCCTCCCTAGGCTCCCTTCCTCTGTGTCTCACAGGAGGAGCCAGCTACTGGGGAATTCTTACATATATCTTGTGGAGATGGAACTTCAAAGGTCGGCAAGTCATTTACTTTTTTAGAAATGAGATGACAGGATTGAGTAGTTATGAGTCACCTGAGGTAACTGGATCAAGAAATATTAGCATAAACAGGCAACATGAAGGATGTATGGCATGCCAGAGATAAAAACCTCAAGGCTCCCATCATACTATGTGTGGTCTTTAAAAAAATGAATCAACTTTTATGTCCTCCAGTGGCAGGGCCACTTCCACATACATAAAAGTTTTTTAAGTGAGTTTCTGTTTTGTAAATTATCACTTGTCTTCTGACATGAAACTATCTTCAGGAGGTAGGTAGAAATGTTTAGAATGGAGCCTTGGACTTTCTTTACCCATATGGATGATATTTTTGTTTGTTTGTTGAGACTGTGTTTCTTTTTGTAGCCCTGGCTGTCTTAGAACTCTCTCTTCAAACCAGGCTGTAACTTTTTTTCTTTTTTGTTTTATTTACATTTCATATGTTATCCCATTACCCCATTCCCCCCCAGGAACCCCCTATCCCCTCACCCCTCCACCTGCTTCTCTGTGGATGTACCCCTACCTACCACCCCACTCCCACCTCCCCACCCTCAAATTCCCACCCACTGGGACGTCCAGCCTTCATGAGACCAAGGATCTCTTCTCCCACCTATGCCCGACAGGGTCCTCCACCCTTACATATACAGCTGAAGCCATGGGCCCCTCCCTAAGTGCTCCCAGGCTGGTGGTTTAGACCCTGGGAGCTCTGGTTGGTTGGTATTGTTGCTCTCCTCATGAACCTCCAAACTCTTTCAGCTCCAACAGTCTTCATTCTAACTCCTCCATTGGGACCCCCATGATCAGTTCAATGGCTAGCTGTGAGCATCTGCCTCTGAACATGTCAGATTCTTGCAGACCTCTGAGGAGACATCTATATCAGGCTCTTACCAGCAGGCACTTCCTGACTTCCACATCAACATCTACTTTTGGTGACTGCACATGAGATGGATACCCAGGTGGAGTGGTCCAAGGTCTCATTCTATAGTCCAGGATGCCTTGGAACCAGCAACCCTCTGCCTAAACTTTCTATGTACTGGGACTACAAGTGTGCATCACTACACCTGGATACATGTGGCTTCCCTTGTCCAATATCCCATCTTTATTTTATTCTCTTTATTTTCCTTCCTGCCTTTATTGTATTTTCTCTCTCTCTCTCTCTCTCTCTCTCTCTCTCTCTCTCTCTCCCTCTCTCTCTCTCTCTGTCTCTCTCTCTCTCTCTCTTAGCAGACAATCCTCTTTTCATTAGGATAGAAACTGAGAATCTCTCCTTTGATATTATTATACCTGTTGACTCCCTTGGTTAGGTCACACGGGACCTTCTCCACTTTAATATGTAATCGCTGCTTTTGAGCTTTCCTTGGGAAAAGTAAGAGAGGTCTTATTCAAATCTAGTCTTCTATAGAAAGACAAATACAGAGCTCAGGGCTCTGACCAAGAGTCCTCGGATACTATGTCTGGGCATTTTTGTTTCTTAGGTGGTCCCTATAGTGGTTTCTCTATTTCCCTTTTATTGGTTGCTAAAGAACAGAAATAGAAAATCATTACACCTCCAGTAAAATGACTCTAGAGAAGACAGCATCCCACTTCTGCTACTAATGACTCATGTTTATTGCAGAAGAATATTTAGCATATAATGATGTGTCAATTTATATACATCTACAGACTTGTGTGCACATAGGGGAAGACTTAACAGGTCCCCAGAACTTGCAGTATCATTCAATTTACCATAGCTTCAGGATGTGAGTATATTAAAATTTCTAAATATCCTTCAATTACCATATTGCACACCTTTCTTCCCTCAGATGGTAGCACAACTTGAAGACATGCCATGTCAAGAATCTGCCAGCTTGGGTTTTGTGGTGAAAGGAATGGACCTTCGTATTGTTTCTAGCTGTTAAGTCTGAGGTTTCCTCTGCGAGGAGGGTTACCGTTTGCATCTCATCTTTCCTCTGGTTTCCTCCCAGGTACAGACCGGAGGATTTATTATATGATCAACAAAGGTGGCAGTGAAGCCCTTCTGCAGACTCTGGTGGACACATCAAGGTCAGCTTCTCCTGACTGGGACATCCTCCTGCCTCTCTTCAGGCTGCTGGCTAAAGTTGGCCTAAGAGGTACTTACACTTCAAAACCTAATGATGACTAACAACATACTTCTGGAGTTGTCCCCTGAGAGCAGCTGGGGGTAGCCCTTGTGGGAGACAGAATAGGATGTCTCAGGTGCTCTGGTGATAACAGGCCTAGCCTTATAGGGGAGGGAATTTTACTTTATTGCTATTTTGAGGCCCAGAGTATTACATATTTTTGAGACTGGCTTCAAGCTTTGCTGAACAGGGTGGCCTCAGATTTACGGCAATACTTCTGCCTCAGCTTCCTGTATACTGGGATTCGACATGTCAGATAATACCAGATATCGTGCTTAGAAATGAATGAATGACATGGAGACGTTGTAGTCACAGCTGGCATGGGCTGCAAAAGCAAGCATCATAAGTCAGAAAAGAGGGGAGTGGCTCCAGCCCATTTTAAATGCTCACACAGAATGAGACCATTTTGTGAAGTGTATCTCATATGAACGTACATTTTTTGTATTAGCTTTTCTCTCTTGTTTTGGAGGCAGAGTCTCATGTAGACCGAGTTAGCCTGGAACTCACTATGTAGGAAAGATGATCTTGAACTCCAGAGTGCTGAAATTATAGGTAATACATCAGCATTCCTGACCATACTTGTGCATTCAATTTTTAGAGCTATCATAGCAAATTGCCACAGACTGTTTGACATTATGTACCATAAATATAGTCTCTGATACTTCTGGATTCTGTAAGTCACAAACCAAGTCCTGGCAGGGTATGTTCCTTTCGAAAGTCCCAAGGGAGAGTCCGGTTTTTACATTTCCTTGGTGTTGCCAGAATATTCTCCTCGCCCCCCTCCCCGCCCCGCTCTCTCTTGTTTATGGACTGATTTATTTTCTCTGTCTGTGTTTACACAGTGCTCTCTATGTGTTCACTTTGTGTGTCTTCTTCTCTTTGTATGGGGTTATCAGTCATTAGGTTTAGGATCCATTCTGTCCCACCTGGCCCCCTCTTAGCTAATTCAATGTTCAAAATCCTCTTTTCAAATAAGATGGCATCTTGGATGTCTGGGTGGAAATGGATTTTGGGGACAACACTGTTAATCAACTCACTGTGATAAGTCGCTAGGTATAGAGCTTCTGCCACTTTCTCTTCACACTTGGAGGATCCTGAAATACTTCTTTAGGTCTCTGGAACTTCCTGGAGGAGAGTTGAATAATCTAAGCATTCGGAGCTCATGCACACTTTGCAAAAAATCCTTTGACAGTGACACTTAAACTGTATATTGAATATCATGTCACATATTATGTCACAATTGAAAAGCTCAGACCCCTTTGATGTTCTCTGCTAGGATCTGAAGCTCTATGATCCAGCACTCAATGTTTAAATCTCTACTTAAAGGTTATTGGCATTCTACAGATGGGCTGAGAAAGGCGTCAGCTAGCCCCTGCATGAATATGTCCCAACATAACTAACATTTCATTTAGTGATCTTTCAGCTGGGGTAACTATATGCAGTGTTCTGTGCAGTGCAAACATCTCTGTGACCAAGACAGTCGAGGAGTCTGCTCACACAGAGCTCCTGTTCCAAGTGGGGCAGGTTAGCTGGTCAGCAAATAATTAACTGGATGATACCAGACTATGATGAGTGCCTCAAGGAGGAGGAAGAATGATGCTACCCTAGGATGGCACAGTCTGAGGGAGGTGACATTTGAGTTGAAACTTGAAGAACGGGGAAAGTCAGCAAAGCTGATTGGGTCGAGTGAACTCTAAGAAAAGATAGTAGAGACATGATATATCCCCCAGTCACATAGTTCAGGCTGGTTTCAAGGCTGTCCCTGACACTGACTAGCTGTGTGACCCTGATCAAGTTACTTAAGGTTTATGAACTATGGTACCCTTATGTCTAAAATGGAAGCATAGAATTTAATTCTAGAGTTTCTAGGAAGAATAAATGAGGTATTAGGTCACATTTATCACTGTACTGTCTCTGACCCACCAACTCCTGAATAATGACACAGACATTTATTATAGCTTAGGACTTGGATGCACACCAACTAGTTCGTCTAACATGAATTAGCCTGACTATTCTATTCCACATCTGCCATATGGCCTGTTACCTCTCACTTAGTTGGACAGTCCCAGCATCTATCTCCATAGTGAATCTCAGGCCTCTGAATTCTTCCTACACTTCCTATCTCTGCCTGGAAGTCTTGCCTTTCCTCTCCTGTCTAGCTATTGGCTGTCAGATCTTTATTAAACCAAGCCCGAAGGTGATGGAGATGTAGGTTTTCAAAATACTAAGGCAGGTGATGATCCATAAAAAATAACAATACCAAAATACAGACAGTACTCTTGCTCTCTGCCAGTAAAGAAATCAAGATTTGAATAATACAAAGACAACCTTCACCCAGTATACAAAAATGTTACCCTAACATACGTCCTTAGCATGTGGGGCCGGGGACCTGACAGTCAAATGGCAAGAGACATTCAAGGGCAGTGGTTTCCAAGTTACTGCTCTTTGTATATGTGTGTTATATGTATATGTCCATGTATTCACATGTATGTATGCACATGTAGAAATCAGGGGGTGATGTTGGGTATCTTTCTCAATTTTGCCATTTTATTTTTTGAGACCTAGGTTCTGATTGAACACAAAGCTCACTGTGTTAGATTTCTTTGTCAATGAGCCCCTGGGACCCTCTTCCTATTGCCTAGATCAGTGCCGGCATTACAGGTATATGTACAGCCACACATTGCTATTACCATTGCTGTAGAGGATCTGAACTAAGTTCCTCACATTTACACAGCAAGAACTCTTACCCACTGAGTCATCTTCTCAGCTTCAATCTTTTTATTTTTACAGCAAATTTTACTGTATATACTTGGGATTTTCAATGTGACATTATGAGACATAAGTATCGGTTCATCCGCAGCTAAGCAGATGAACATATCTACAGACTCCTATAGTGTCACTTTATTTTGGTGACAGGAACAGCTAAAGTCTACATATTTAGTGTGGTACAATTGTGTGAACTTTATCATCAGGTTGAGTACAAGAGCTGTAGATTTGTCTATCCTGCTTATTTGCAATTCTTTGTCTTCGACCCCATCTTCCTTCTCTGCTTAGCCCTCCTTTCTTCAGAGTCAGCAGAAAGCACTTTCCTTAGCACTGTGCACTCATTCCCTCATGCTAGTGAGGATGGCTTGTCAATAAGACAAGGGAGAGCAAATGGCAGCTAGGGTATGGTGAAAGGGAACCTTTGCACACTCCGTGGTGCTGAAGATCAGGACGGCTGTTACTGAGATGGCATAGAGATTTGAAAAAAAAAATAGAAGAGCTACCACATGGGCATGATGATACACACCTGGCGTTCTGACACTTGGAAGGTGAAGGCGGGAGGGTGAGAAATTCATAATGCATTCCAGGCCATATTGGGCCACAGGAGACCCTGCTGAAAACAAACAAACAAACAAACAAACAAACAAGTAAACCATGAAATTGCCATATTACTCAGAAATTTCTATAATCTCTGGTTTGAACGTATACCCAAGGAAAGGAAATGACTATCTCAGAAAGATCTCTGCCTTCACATGTTTATTGAAGTACTACTAGTCCTGAGAGCCATGATATGGAAATAGTATGAGCGTTTATGCATCAATAAAATGTGATATATATATATATATATATATATATATATATATATATATATATGCAATGGAGTATTACCTAGCCTAATGGGTTGTACCCAGAGAATATTATGCTGAATGAAATAATGAGACAAGTATAAAAATATATTTCTATGAATCTTATAATAATCATGATGATTTGGGCATCACACTTAGGGAAGGAAACAAACAAATGTGACTAGACATAGTCACCTGATAGTGGGAGCAACGAGCATAAACAAGAGGTATTTTCCTCTTGTTTTCAATGCTTATTTTGTGACTATTGAGATGAAGATGATGAATGGCTTACCCACAACACTAGATGTCAGGTTAGTAGAGCATCATACTTTTCAACTTTAATTTTTTTCTTTTAAAAGCTTTTCACTTTTTATTATGAAAATTCTTTGTTAAACGGAAATATTACCATCATCTACCTATAACTTTGATCCAACTATCTCCCAAAGTTCCACACTATCTTTTGCATATTCAAAACAATACTGAGTCAAAAGAACAAGATTCATGGTGAGTATGCTTTTAATTTCAGCACTATTCGGGAGGCAGTGGTGGAGGTAGGTGGATCTTGGTGAGTTCTAGGACAGTCTAGTTTCCACTGTGAGTTCCAGGACAGCCATGGATCCGTTGAAATAAACATTTCAAAAACAAAAACAAAGCAAAGCAAACCAAACCAAACCAACCAACCAACCAACCAACCAACCAACCAAAACCAACCAACCAACCAAACAAACAAACAAAACCCCCAAAACAAAAAAACAAAAAACCCAAATAACAAAAGGATCCAATCAAAGATCATGCACTGCATTTGAGTATACTGCTAATTGTTTTATTCAACCCAGATTTATCTTAAAGACATTGATACATATGAGGATGACTCAGAGTATCTGTAGATTCAAAGGCTTGCAGTCTTAGAACCCATAGCTTTCATGTAAATAAGTAATCCAGACTCCACTCTTCGGATGCATTTGGCTCCAATGGGGGAGTATTTAGAATATTTTTAATTAGGCTAAAAATTGTCTTTGGCCATAATTATCCACCCTCCTCTGTCATTTTTCCTTTTTTCCTGAAACCTTCAGAATGAATGTAAGACATAATTAAGAGAGATGAATTTGTGTTCCTAGATAAGAAGTTTGGACAGAAGGCACTAGAATTAGAAGCGCTTGATGTGACCTTGATTCTGGCCAGGAAAAACCTTTCTCACAGCCAGAACCTCCTGCACTGTCTCTGGGCATTGCGTGTATTTGCATCCAGTGGTAAGTTGGGCTGGAACACCTGGAAATCATGTGGTGGTCTGGGAGAGGGAAGGTTTGGGTGAGGATGCATGTGGTCCCATTCAGACACATAACAGAACGTGACAACCCAAAGGTTGCGGAGGTCAGACATTTATTTATTGACTTGGTCAAGTATAGCTCTTGAGAAACACCTAAATATTGTCTTTGGATTTTCCTCTGAGTTGCATATACAGCATTCCAAATTTCTCTATTAATAATACCAGGTACAGAAGTCCTGTGGCAGGAGAAAGGCAGGATTTCCTCAGGCTTTGACATAGTCATAACATTATGTGTTACATCTGTTAAAAACAACATTGTGATGGCTGGAGAGAGCTCAGCCAGTAAAATGTTTGACTTGCAAACACAAAGACTTGAGAACCCACTAGTATCAAAATAGTTGTGATGTAGACTTGTAATCCCAGTGTTGGGGAGGCAGAGGCAGGAGGATGCATGGAGTTTGCTGGCCAGCTGGTATAGCCTAATTGGTGAGTCTAAGTCAATGAGCGAACCTGTGTCAAAGGCAGTAGACACTATTCTTCTGGATGAAACCTGACCTTCTCAGACAAGCATGTGAACTCACCCACACATTTGTGCGCATGCACACACACACACACACACACACACACAAGAGAGAGGGGGGAGGGAGGGAAGGAGAGATAGAGGAGAGGGAGGAGGGAAGAGGAGGGGGAAGAGAGAGAGAGAGAGAGAGAGAGAGAGAGATATTAAAATAAAGAATAGTCCTTATTAATTCCATGAAGCTACTCACTGATGTAACAAAATCCTTACTGATTTTTTTCTAACCTCATGCTTTTTCCTAACAGACCCTCTCTCTGGGTGATCACATCTGAACCTGTCAGAGGCTAGTTATTAAGGCTCTACTTACTTCAGCTGTTTTTAATTATCACAACCGTGTGTTTAGATCTATATTTTTATAGCTCAGAAAAGAAAAAGCCAGCTGCTTCGAAGAGTGAAGTAATTTCTTAAGTTTACACAGATAAAAAGTCCTGAAGGCTGGCTTTAGAATTCCAAAAATCATGTTAATTCTACTCCGTGTGGAGGCACTTTTCATTAATAGATTAGATTCTATACCTCCTATCTCACATGTAATGAGCACAGACTTTCATTTCTCCTTTCTAAGCTCCCTTTCTGGGGAATAAAAGTGACAATTATTTAGATGTAATATACTCTGTAGGGGAAAGACTGTGGGCTTAGAGCCAGGGAGCCCTCAGTTTGACTCTGATGCTATTTCTCATGAGGCGTGGAACCAGGGCTCTTGGCCTGTTTAACCTCATGGTTTTTTTCCCTTTGTGAAATTATAGCAGCAATAATTATTACTATTAATCTGCTAGGTTTTTGTCTCACTAAAACAACAGTAATTAATTTTCTCACAGTGCTAAAGGTTGGAGGTCTGAGACCAAGATTTTGGCAACATTTGTTTTCTTCTATAGCCTGTTTCCTTGGCTGGCCAAAAGAAGACCTTGTCATTTCTCCATGTCCCCATGTGGTCTTTCTCATGGGCTTGTGCTTCCTTGGTCTCTTTCTATGTTTAAATTTTCTGTGTGACAGACACAAAACAGATTAGATTATATCCCTTCTCCAGTGGCATCCCTTTAACTTAATAACACCTGTAGGTCATAGGGATTATGGCTTTAAAATGAATTTGGGGAAATGCATTCAACCCTTAGCAAATCTCATAGATTTGGGATGGGACAAATAAGACCATGTTCCTAGGTAAGGGCATGACACTGCAGCTGCCTTAGCCTACCCCAATCTTTTGTCTAATATTTTGAAATCACATGAAGAATACACATGTAAGTGTAGTAACCAGATAACCCCTCCATGTATCCTAAGAACTGATGAAATATCCCATTTTTACTGTTTTTATTCTTACTTTAAATACAGGGTCTCATGAAGCACAGACTGGCCTCAAACTCACCATGTAGCCAAAAATCACCTTGAATTACATGTCCTCCTCTTTCCACCTCCCAGTTGCTGGGATTACATTATTCAGTATTTCAATTTTCACTGTTTCAGACTCTAAATAAACATGGAGTCTACATAAAGAGACCGTTTTCCTCCATAATAATAATAATAAGATGAATAATAAGATGGATTATTGCCTTTTTGTTTACAATATCCTCCCTCTCTTACACACAGACACACACACACACACACACACACACACAGAGAGAGAGACAGAGACAGAGACAGAGAGAGACAAGAGAGACAGAGTGAGAGACACAGAGAGAGAACAAAGAATATCAAAGAGCATTTGGGAATATCTGAATGAATCTGTACAAACCCATCTCCAAACAATAAAAGAGGAATTGTACCATTTTATGAAAGACAACTGTCATCAATGAGTAGTATAAAAGCATAACAGCCAATTTGCAGCTTGCTGTACAGGACTTAATTTATCTTTTGGTTTCCTAAAGGCTTTGCTTTCTTTAATATGTATATGTAATGATAATATAATTAATATAATATAATAATAGAATAAATAATAATATAGCAATATAGCATCAGCTTAGCTCTGAGAAAGCCAGCAATTTGTCTGTGAGTGTGAGAATGTAACCAGTTGGCTCATATGCTAGCCTACCTTTATTATACCAACTAGCTGTTTCATAAAGTCATGGTGTCTCTCTGTATTGTATTTACTTATGAAAGGCTAACAGAGTTCAAGAAGCCTGTGGGTTCTGTTTCTTTAGTGAATTGTGACCCACTATTTACTGTTTCAGCAAGCTTTCTAAACAGCTATTTCCATCTGATTAACTGGATGTACCCATAATAGGTTTATGATAGCCAATGAAGTTGTTGGCAGTACCCACATTGCCATGTTGGGCAACCATATGGTAAAGGTGAGCCCAGTGAGGTTTCTTTTTATATCCACTCCTGATATCAACTCCAGTCTTCCATGTTAGAATCAGAGGTATTGTGACTGAACTTTTACTACTTCCACTTAATGTCGTATTTCTTACTGAATTACCTGCTAAATTTTTTTCATTCTAGTGTTATTTTCTACATTAAAAGTAAAGACTATATTAATAAGTATAACAGTGGGAAGACTGATGAACACAACAGGGATGTCAAATCCATCCAGTTAATACGGGTGGTGATGGTCTATACTCTCCTTGGCGGGGGTGTATGCATAGAAGCTACTCCCAGAATATGCACTCCTTGTAACAGGCAAGACTTTGTTCTCAGTCCCCACCTGTTAGACAGAACTGTGGAATTAACACCTCCAGGTTTGCTTTCCTCTCCAAAGGCCTGAACCAGGTCAGTCTAAGACACATTGCTCTTCTCTTTGCATCTTTAAGATGCCCTGTCCCACTTATTTTCCCAGTATAAGCCTGGCCCAAAACACCAGGCAGTCTTATGTCTTCCCTCCCAGAAGTACAAGCACCATGGAGGAAAGAGAGGAGTCACTTTATCAGAGAATTGTTTTTCTTCCTTCTACTTCCTTGTCCTCTCCTATGGTTCTATATCCCATGGATTCTTGTTCTTTTCAGGGTCATCCGTGCTCTTCCCAAATTCAACTGAGCTGAAAAGGGTATGAGTCATATTGGAAAGTGGCTGGGGTATCCTTGGAGATGGTAATGATATCTGGAGGGTTTTATTTATTGAGTGTTCCCTTGACTTTCCATCATTCAGATCTATGATCGTGTTTTAATACCCTCTCCCCAAATTGGGTGTAAAGGAAAACGTTCCCAGGCTAGTTACCATGGAGCACAAGACTCATTCTTCTATTGGTATTCTGATAGTGGTTCAGCCAACTTGTCGTGTCAGTCTTAGGAGAGTCAAGTATGAAATTGAGGAGAGTTTGAAACTGAGGGAGAAACAGATACCCCATTCACTATCTTTGTTGTTTCATTTTTTATTGTTGTGTGTTGACCCCCTTAAAATTGTCAATGGTTAAATGCAAGTTGTGTTAGCACATCTTGTGATGATAGCTACTTACTTCTGTGCATTTTGTCTTCAGTAACCACGGGAGCCATGCTGGGAATTAACGGAGCGATGGAACTGCTCTTCAAGGTCATTTCTCCTTACACCCGAAAGCACACCCGGACAATCAGGTACAGAGCATGTTCATAGCACCCGGGGCTCTGGGTGATGGACAGAAAATGGAGGTGCTTGCCTTTAGATCTTCTTGATCCTTCCATCCCAATCCATTGGCGCTTTTTTTCTTATAGATGTACAGTGGCTCTATCCCATATAAATCTGTATACAGAAGCATACCCGACCCCAGATTTCTCATTTCCTCTCATTCTCATGATAATCTCAAATGAGCCTATAACTCTCAAGCTAAAATGCAGAGAGCTTTATCTGAGGTTACAATGCTGGGGAACGGCAGAGGTGAAGTTTAAATCGATATCATTCAAACCTCATGTTCTTTTTTGTTGTTGTTGATTTTGGTCTAGTGCTTTCAGATAAATCCCTTTTTTATCTGCAGTGATAAATGAGCATAACCCTCAAAAGACAGCCTGGGAATGATAGGGTCTCAAAAAAATCAGCCAGCTAAACGTCTTAGATGAGTCCTGAGCCTTCTAATAGTTCATCATGGTTGTGTGCTGGTCTTGTTACATGGTTTTATGACTGGAGAATGAAACCTGGCCCATTCTCTTGGCCTCTGCATCCCAGAGTGGAGTGAATCACTAAGTTAAAAAGGGAGATGGTTTCACATAAAGGCTTTAGAGATATTCGGAAGCATTAAGATCCATCATTTATGGGAGTGACTCAGCGAGGACCTTGAGAGAATATTAGAAGAAATTCAGCCAATTTCTAAGATATATGGGGTCATTTGGCAAGTAGCATTTCCATGCCCAGCCATGATATTTTCTGCATCCTAGCATCAATCTCGAGCTCGTGTTTCACCTGATTATTTTTCTCCTGGGTCACCACAGTTATTCCACCCCCATCCATTCTCACCTACAGCCCTCTACACTAGTGTTTCCTGAAGTGAAATACATTATATAGCAGCAAAAAAAAAAAAAGAAAAGAAGAAGAAAAAAAAGAAAAAAATGGCCTCATCAAATAAATTGAGAAGTTCTGGCCTAAACTAAGTGAGATAGGTTTCTTTATGCTAAGATTTCGCAGAACCTTTAGTAAAACTTATACACACTGGGCCTAAGATGGCTTTGTAGTGTGTTCCATCCTAAGACCAATCTGGCCAGGGAACTCCATATTTTAAAGATCACCTTTTAAAAGGGGCTAGAACAGTTTGCATTTTATTTTGGAAATTTCCCCTCTAAAGTGGAAACTCATTACAATGTAGCAGTCAACCCAACTCTACCAGCAAAATCCTCATGCAATAGGTGAAACACCTCAGAGTCAAAAACAAGAGTAAAAATAACCCCTTCATTTTTCTGTAGTTTCACTTTACTTTGTCCTTAAATGTCCACTGCATCAGATGACAAAAATTCTTACCAGGGATCAAAATCAGATTAGTGATCCTTTAGCTCATGGTGTCTTTCTGTCTACTGTGTTCCTCTTTTGGGGATGTACTCTAGATTTAAAGACGCTATGGGTGACAGTGAGAAATGCTGATGGAAAACAGTTTGTCCTTAATCATCTATGCCCATTAGGATGTTCAGGACTTGGGTATGTCACCAATTTTGTCACTGTGCACTGCCGTTGCTACTGAGATCTGCAGTCTCAGCATGTCTTGGCCACTAAAACCTGAGCTTTATCCATCCTATTAATAATAGTATCTCCAATATGCTGTTCCTATAACAGGCATTTGTCTAGTTTTTCTCATACACTCTGTAATTTTCACTTTGTCCTTGCACATATGAGTCTTTCTAAGTGATCTCTTCTTTGCCGTGGGTACCATGCTTTTTGATAAGAAGTCCTTATCAGTTAACCTTGTGTATCAAGGAATTGAGTCCTAATGTTTTTCCATCCTGATGGCTTCTGTTGTCTCTGTTATGAAGGCCAAGATTGGGAGAACAAAGCAATACAAATACCACATGTGAGACAGTAATAAGTATTTGTCAGGCTCTTGCAGGGCCTCTCAGGAGACAGCTATATCAGGGTTCTGTCCGCAAGTATTTCTTGGCAGCCAACCATTGGACTGAGCATGGGATCCCCAATGGAGGAGTAAGAGAAAAAGACTGAAGGAGCTAAAGGGGTTTGCAACCCCAACCAACCAGAATACCAACCAACCAGACTCCCTGAGAGCTCCCAGGGACTAAACCATCAACCAAAGTGTACACATGAAGTGATCCATGGCTCCAGCCGCATATGTAGCACAGGATGGCCTTGTCCGACCTCAATGGGAGAAGAGGCCCTTGGTTCTGTGAAGGCTCCATGTCCCAGTGTAGGGGAATTTGAGGGCAGGGAGGCAGGAGTGGGTGAGGGAGCACTCTCATAGAAGCAGGGGCAGGGGGGATGGCATGGGGGTTTCCTGAGGAGAAATTGGGAAAGGGGACAACATTTGAAATGTAAATAAATAAAATATCCAATAAAGAAAAGAAAAAAAAATACTGCAATAAGTAGTTAAAGCATACAAGTTCCTTTCTTAGGGATACCTCCTGTTGCTGTCTGCATTGCTTTCCTTTGCTCCTGTAAAAAGTCAAGTTCAGGTACAGAGATATGATCAAGGTGCCACAGAACAATGGTCAAACAACATCAGAGATTAAGAGGGATGGAATGTTGCCAAGAACAGAAAATTTGCCAGGGATTTCACTGTACCCACCATTTCTTCATGTCTGATCTGCCTTAGAAATCTTCTGCCAGATGATGCCCCTTCTTAAGCAAAATGCCAAACTAAAAACCAAATGTTCACAGAGGAGAGGCCTCTTCATGAACCTTTACAATGTAGTTGGCATTGCCATGGTGTTGACTAGGTACCTAGCACCACACTTGGCTCTTAGCATGCCTTATCTCTTTAGAGCCTCTTTTCTTCTTTGAGGCAGGTGCTAGTACTGTGTCTCAATTTACAAGGAAAAAAAAAAGGAAACTGAAAGAAGTTAAGTAACTTGCTAGGGATTTAATTGAAAGAACCAGTATTTAAGCGCTGCCTGATCCCTGAGCTCCAGCATGGAAAGCACCATTGGAGTATTTTATAGTCTATTTCCAGTGTTATATATCTAAAAACCCCATATGTAAGACGATCACAAGTAGTTAAAGTTTGCTTAAATTTCTTTTATCGCCTAAACGGTTCATATCCATGGAACAATTTGCTTAATGATAGAGAATCTTTCTCCTCAACTGAATGGCCATTTCCTCTCAAAGGCTAAAATAGCTATTCTCCCTGCTTTTGAATTCTTTCCCAAAGCTCCTTTGTTTTCTAACCCCCCACCCTTCCCAACTAGAAAAGAAACGAAGGTATTGAAATTGAAAGATGCTCCCCAGCAGCTCTAATTCCTTGGTGGGCCACTTTACCTTTCTTAACTCACTCTGGCATTTCTCAAATGTGAATATCAAGCCTTAACTTATAGGCTTGTTGTAGGCATTAGAAACAATGGCTAGAAAAGTCTGTGGGATTTGACATGCTAGGATATGTCACTCACCAGTAATAGAGATACAGCTGGGTAATAGGCTGCCTGCCTACAGCCAGACAGCTCCAGTAAGCTCCACTCCCCAAATCTCAATTAAGACCAAACCAAATAAACTGTGCTTAATTGCCTGCACTTACATGCCAGACCTATGGCTTTGAGGGTTCTTCCATGGGAGGATATAGTAACATGCCTGTAGGACTGAATATTGTCCTCCAAGGCCTTGCAAACTGTGGGGGAATTATTGCAGGATGCCTTTTTTGAAAGCTGGTGCCCAGTGTGGTGCCACTGTGACTCCTTCCTCCTGTGAAGATTAAACCTGCTCTACTTTTCCCATGTGTACCTAAAATAGACACGCAGCTGTCCTCCGATCTCCAGCGGTACTCAGGGGGAGATTTATGGCAGTAGCTCCAGCCTTAGTAGGGAGAAAGGTCCTGTGTAGCAATATCCCAAGCCTCCTGTGGCCTCATGCCAGCCTCAATGCCTAGGAAAGCAGCCCCTCTAGACTTCCTTCATTAGCTAGAGGGCTACCATATTATTACTCTTCACCATTGTGCGAGTGTCTTGTCTGTGCCTTCTCACTTCCTTTTGCTCCCCACATCTGCCATTTTGGTCTGAACAGTCATGGCAGACATGGAAAGCCATTCCTGTCCTCTCAGTGGTCTTCTTCCCTGTGTTCAAGCTGCCAAGAATGTTCGTCGGTTTATCTCCCACACTTCATCCCTTTATCTCTCCAGCTGTCTCTCAGTGTGGCTTGCTCCAGGAGCGGTGTTGTCATTCTATCAGAGGGGAAAACAGCTACCTAGTCTTCTTTTCAGAGCATGGGGAACAGGGAGTCGCCAGTCCCCAGCGCTGCTCTGTAGTCTTTTTCATTCTTCCTTTCAACACACTTTGCACTTAAGCTTGCATACTATTGCCCCAGGGTCTTCTCTCCTCTCTAAACTTTGCTTATCAAGGTAGAAATTGAGCCATGTTTACCTTGTTCCCGTCTCCCCAACAGGGTCTAGCTGCATGTACAGACTATGGCAATTCTCAGTTAAATTAAAAAGAAACGTAGTTTAAAAGGTTTATACGTAATCATTCTTACTTGTAAAGTACTGTGTGATAATTTGATGCAAGTATACATTATGTAATGAGTAAATTAGGGCGATTAGTATTTCCACCAACTTAGGTATGAAACACTTCACAAATTTTGCTTTGTGTTATTTTGAGCAGAGACTATACTAATCTCACCTCAGTATTAGTATGTATAGTGTCCTATCGTGCACCAAAAGATAGACTTTAACTAAAAAATATTGGTGTTTTCTGAATGTATCTGTAAGTGCAATGCAGCATCTACCAAGTGAGTCACTTCATGTTGGCTGCCATTTTTGTTCTTGATCTTACCCTGGGTCCACATGTAGAGTCGATATGTAGGTGTCTAAACATACCTGAAAATTCATGTGGCCCTTTTACCAAGAACTGTGTGGAATGGGAGACTGAGATGCGGAGAGAAGTCAGCCAAGAGAAGAGAAGCTAGAACAATCAGCCTTAAAAGGAGAAAGTTTTTGATCACTAGAGAGAAAGGACGTATTATT